ATCAAATGAGCAAGAACAACAAAAAAGTGAATTTTAATCAAGGGCTTAAATTGTTTTCCAGACGGGGACGCATCCAGAATACCAAACATCTAGAAGTGGTCTGTCAATTGTTAACATCACTGCTCTGAATTCTTCTCAAATATTTAACCTAAAACTCTGCTCTGTTTTTAGAAAGTAGCAGAAACAGACATGGGAAGTACTCTTGATCTGAAGTATCCTGTATTGTACCCCTAAAATAAACAGGAAATACAAAATTTGATTTTCTCGAGTGCAGATGAAATCATAATAATTCCGTCCCAATCTTACGTGGATGTGTGTCGCAGTTACATTTGATGGAAATTTCTATAAGATTTTAGGGTTGTGTCTGTAGGAATCTGTGGGCTGTTTATCCAAAAGACATTTTTTGAGGTCAGGCAGTGATGTTGGAAGATGAGGCCTGGCTCAAAATCTGTACTGTGGTTGAGGAAATAGTTCTGTGAAGAGAAAGAAAGAAAAGAAATCACAGCACTAGGGGCTAAGGAGTAAGTTAAGCAGATAAGCTAAAGTTAATGAATCAAACGTTTGTAGGAAAACAACAAAGTACCAGTGTTAATTTGTCTTTTTTTTTTTTGAGTTTTCATTTCAGCGAAGCGCCTCAAGATTAAAATGTTAACCGACCTGTTGACATACAGTGTTCAGGAATGTTGCTTCATCTTGATTACTAACAATTAATTGTGATTAATTCACACTGATGTCATGAGCCAGTTAGGAGTGTACTAAATAAACAAGGCATAACTTGATCTGCAAGAAATACTTGCGCCACCGCCTGGAGTAGTTTGACTTTTTTGAGGTTAGGCATGAATGCGGGAGAGTTCCTGCTGTTGTTGCTAAAACGGATCCTTTACATCTGTTTTCCATTAAAATGACTGAAGAACAGACGACAACAAACAAATTTGTGGGTGTTGTTTTGAAGTACCTTGTACAAACGAGTTGACGTTTGAGAGTAAGTTTATTGACGAAATACTGCAAAAATAACTTTTGAAAGTAAATCCCTTTATTACTGTAAGTAGTGTTTTTCAGTATTGTTTAAATAATTATGCAAAGTGTTGGATTTTAGTTGTATATTACTGCAAGAACGTGGGGTACAAAATGGGTCTCTCATTATTAACAATACACAGATATATTTTGTTTATTTCATAACTATGAGAGTATGAAGGTGAATTAGGTATTATAGCGCTCCCTTCACTCCACCATTCTCTGGGAACTATTAGTTAGTTCTCTCCCTGTAGCTGGAAAACTCAGAAATCTGAAATCCAAAAATCGTTTTGCTGCACAGCATGGCCCAGTCTGTGGTCCACGACCCACATGTTTTCTGTGCATTATGCATATGGGGTTAAAAATGGTTAGAATGACCTAAGCAAAAACCTGGACACTTGAGATATGAACATTCGTTTTTGTGTTTTGCTGAATGCTGAATCATCTTCGCCTGGTCAACAGTACTGATGTTGATCAACCCTGTTTCTATTTTCTTCCCTCTCACCACTTCTCTTCCTCCCGACTTCCTCCCATATGCCTCCCTCCATCTGCGCTTCCTCTCGTGTTTCGCAGATGCAAGTTCTTCAGTCTGACAGAGACACCGGAGAACTACACGGTAGTCCTTGATGAGGAAGGATTTAAAGGTAAAACTGCACATGTCCAACACAGGTACCAACAAAAAAACTTCCTGGTTTTACAAAAACTATGGTGCACAGTTTTTTGTATTTTCTTTTTAATCGTTAAAAATCCATACAGTTCTGGGTGTATTTACAAAGCGACGAAACATTTCTCAGGCCAAAACCTACATTAAAGCCTTCATTGAGAAACATGTCTGTGGTGGAGGGTCCTAACAGAACTCTTCAACCTTTATTAAGAAACTTTTACTTCATTTGTCACCCTCACCCATTGTACAGCAATAAGGGGAAGAGAAAGGAAGGAAGGAAGAAGGGAGGAAATAGCACTGAAGGGCTAAAGCAACCAAACACTACACAGTAATTTTGACCCAGCTTCAGATGTGTATGGTGCTCATTTATGACACTTCGACGCTGCGTCATCATCTCCTTGAAGACCAGCAACTGGTCCGACCAGTCGTGTGCATTGATGACGCTGAGAAATGATTAAAGTTTCTCATGAAATGTATGCTTTTTGTTTTGCCAATAACATTATCAATTATTTCACTTCCTTATATTGACTGGAACATTCGGTTGCTAACGTTTTAATGCTAATACAAACATTACTGTAAACATCTTGCATAAGGTCAATTTCAAATGGCTATGCTATCTTTTTTTTACACGTGTTTGATATACTGGTTACAAAAAATAGATCAGTGTATTTTTACTTTTGACAGCTCTGAGTTATATGATACAGTACAGCTCTGCTGCCACCAAAGTAGCTCGTATATTTATGCATGGGTAACAGGAAGTAGCTCTGCTGTACTAAGAAATAGTTCTTGCACTTTTTTACTTCACACATTAAAAAGGATAGATGTATTATTTGTAGTTGACCGCTTTTAATAATTAATTAGTATTTATTAATTATAATTACAAATATGTATTATTAATATTAATTATATGAAGTTATATATAATTATTAATTATTATTAAAATAATTTACCATCATGATACGGCCAAGACAGCAGTGTGATGGGGCCCGGGCCTTGGTTTGGAATTTGGCTGTTGCTATGATTGGCAAAAACATTTAATAACTAGCGATGTCTATCCGATACTTAGGATTGGTATCGTTCCAACATTGGTGAAAATTCATGGATCGAATATAAAAAAAAACAACTACAGCTCATTGCATTCGATACCAAAGCCCAAATGCTCACCTTAATTTATGCGCAACATGCCATAACCATGGACGTTATCGCCTGTTGTCGTTGTCGCATGTTGGAGGAGAAAAGAAGGTATCGGCAAATACTACTATTGGACGTGAAAAAGTTGTATCGAGCCATCTGTAGGAAAAACGCACTTGTGTTCATGGAAGAACTCATACTTTAAGCCTGTCTGTCGGCTAGTCCGATGCTGAATAAGCATAAATGTATGCAAATGTTACCGACATATACGTGTGTGAACAGAGGTTTCCTATGTGTCTGTGCCCTCAGAGCTAGAGCCCTCAGAGCATCTCAAGGTAGAAGGCTCCATCTGGCTACCTCTCAACGTGGTCTCCAACGGTAACGCTTCCAGCAGCTCACAGGCCGTAGGCGTGACCAAGATCGCCAAGTCAGTCATAGCCCCTCTGGCTCAGCAGCATGTTTCAGTCTTTATGCTCTCCACGTATCAGACTGACTTCATACTGGTGAGTTCTGTCCACAAAACTACATTGTAATCAAAATCCCTCCTCTACCCACCGGACCACTCCAGTGGTCGGTTCTGTCCACTCGACAGTTTTGCGGTCACCAAATTATTCCCAGATAAAACCGGAGACATTAAAGGATGGTTGATGTATTACTGTACGCATGAAAGTCTTGAATGGGCAAAAACAGACGCTGGTGTCAGCAGGTGAGTTAATGAAAAACCTACCAAGAGCTGCAGGAGGTAGTAATGCTAGAATGGTACGATGGAGGTGAATGATTCAGAAACTACCAGTAGGGGAAGCAAATGTTGTGCATTTTCTAAAGATACCAGATTAAATAATAAAACTGAAAAGCTGTGATGATCAAAGGTTGAGCAAATTTGTATGGCAATCTGAACCGTTTTTGATAGTCTAGCCAAGTATTGTTAAATTAATTTTAGTCAATTCAGAATTTTTCTTGTGTTACCACTTTATACATTGAAAACATTGATGGTTTTGAAAACTAGAAGCTAGGTAAATTCTGCTGACCGACAGAATCTCCGCTGCTTGTTGTGGTCTCATACCTGTTTTTTATTCCAAACTACTACAAATACTGGCCCAGTCCAGAGAAATTACCTGCAAATGAGAGGAAGCAGACTTTGAGCCAACCTCTGATTTAAAAAAAAAAAAAGTTTTAATCTGTGTTTCTTTTAATGCCAATAACGCATTTTTGATAGTTCTGTAGTGCAGTGATTAGCACGCCTGCCTCGGAAGCAGAGAGTTCTGAGTTTGATTCCCAGAGGAACCACATGCTTGGTGCTTGCTAGCGGCAGCCTGTTAACAGCATTTTTTTTTAATTAACCCTTCTATATCCCTACATCTCTACCAAAAAGATATTCAATTATTGATTTATTAAAAGCTCAGGAAATATCGACATACAGTATATTCTGTAGAGGTTTATGTTTAGTTTTTTTTTTCCACTAGAACGGCCATCCTTCTTAAAAAATGCCAAGTGTACTGACCCAACTGACCTTTGAGGTTTGATGTTTCTCAGTCATCTCTCACAAATCACAAGGTCTAAGAAGAATCCAGTGTGGCTACTTTGAACCTAAGGTAACCTGTCTCTATGGACGTACGTGTGTGTAGGTGAAAGAGAAAGACCTGTCTGTGGTCATCCGCACTCTGGAGGAGGAGTTCAACATCTACAGAGAGTTTGAAGGAGAGTCCGTGCCGGTGCACTGCCAAGATGTTTCTGTCTGCCTTCACAAAAATGGCAAAGAAGGTCAGACTCTTTGGAAATATTATATATATTTTTACACATATAGAGTGTGTATATATGTATAAATGTGTGTATATATATAACAAAATTGCAACATACAAGGTAAAATTACACCTTTTGTCTCATCTGTTGCGTATTAGTTGTGTATTTGCCAGAGCCTATTAACAGTCCCATGTTTGTCTTTGAATATTTTCTGACAAATTGACTGGAAATGTGCTATAATACCATGCATACATTGCTAATACTACAAATCAGGTCAGGTCCCTAAAATCCACTCCCTCCCCCGTCACCTCTGGTGTGCCCCAGGGCTCCGTCCTGGGGCCCCTCCTCTTCATCATATATCTCCTTCCCCTTGGCAATATCCTCCGCAAATTTAACATCCAATTCCACTGCTATGCCGATGACACCCAGCTCTACCTCACCACAAAACCCTCATCATCAATCCCGCCCACCTCCCTTACAGACTGCATCTCTGACATAAAAATCTGGTTTACACAAAACTTCCTTAAACTAAACAGCAATAAAACCGAGGTTCTCCTCATTGGAACTAAAAATACACTATCAAAAGCTAACAGTTTCTCACTTACCATCGACGGCTCCTCCATCTCACCCTCTCCCCAGGTAAAGAGTCTGGGTGTCACCCTTGACAACACACTTTCCTTCCAAGCCCACATAAACAACATTACCCGGTCTGCCTACTTTCACCTCAGGAACATCAATCGCCTCCGCCCCTCCCTCACACCCCACACCACTGCCATTCTTGTCCACAGCCTTGTCACCTCCCGTCTGGACTATTGCAACTCACTCCTCTTTGGTCTCCCCCACAAATCCCTCCATAAACTTCAACTGGTCCAAAATTCAGCTGCCCGCATCATAACTCGAACCCCCTCTATCCATCATATCACCCCTGTCCTCCAACAGCTACACTGGCTCCCCATTCACTTCCGCATCCAATACAAAGTCCTCCTGTTGACATTCAAAGCCATACATAACCTTGCCCCCCCTTACCTGTCTGACCTCCTTGTTTTTCCCACTCACTCCCGCTCCCTCAGATCCTCCTCCACCATCCTCCTGTCTGTCCCCCCCGCCCGCCTCACCACCATGCGGAGCAGAGCC